AACAACACAAATGGACTATCAGATCTGTGAGGCAGAAATCCAAACTGAGTCTCATGGACTGCAAGCACGTGTGGTGGCAGGGCTGCACTCACTTGGGTGGCTCGAGGGGAGCATCCGCTCCCTTTGCCTTCTCCCCTTTGAAGAGGCCACGGCCATGGGCACGCTTTGGCTGCGGCCCCTGTCTTCAAAGCCAGCAGGGCAAGTGGGGTCCTTACAGCCCATCGCTCTGCCTCATCTCACACCCATCTCTTCTACTTTTAAGGACCTGGTCATCACACTGGCCCGCCAGGATAGTCCAGGTTAATCTCTTGATCCAAACATCAGCTGATAAGCGACTGTAATTCCTCCTGGACATGTGGTGTAACATATCCACAGGTTCTGGGGGATTAGGCTGTGGACCCTGTGGGGCCATTACCCTGTCTACCCTCCCTACCAGGGGCTTGGAAGGGAGGGCAAGGGATTGGTTCCCATTGGTGCTTCCTCTCATCTGCACACCCCAGCAGGGGCTCAGTCTAAGAAACACCTGGGTTGGGGACTTACTACCTGGTAAGGGCTCCCACCAACTTCTTCTCCTGGCTGGGGACCTCTGGCCTGGATTCAGCTCCTCTCTGCAGGTCAGGCCTGAATTGGTGAATACACTGCTTGGTGCCAGGAGGCCGCCTTGTTGCACACAAATCACAAAGCCCAGCAGTGCCCTGGGCTCTCGGACATCTTGTGACACTCCCGGTGAGGAGGACTGGGCTTGGCAGGCTGGTGAAATACCAGGTTGCATAGTTACATCCTCACACCGTGGGACTCTCAATTCAAGCTGAAACTGGGACAGCTCTGGGCACCAAGGTCTGGGCCCCTACCACGGATGGTAAAGCTTGTACAATGACTCTGAATCCTCATTTTCAAGGTGCAGTCTCAATACCTAAAACATTCAGAGCTTGGAGGGCAATGAAAACCCTGTAACAAGAAGGAACAGAAACAGTTCCCTGCTTGGTTCCTTGGCATGACATCAGAGGGCCACTGTCATTTGGTTCAAGTCTCAGGCTGACGTTTTACCGCACAGCATTCATGCTGTGCTATTTTTATTACCACTTCAGTTAATAAGGGCCACTGGAGGTCAATAAATATTCTAATGGTGTAGAAGAAAGTAACCATGTCATTCCAAAGCCCTCCTCCTGACCTAACTGTGCACGACGGGCCTGATTTCTGTCCTTGCACCTTCAGTGACACTTGCATGACCGGGGGATGCCATTTAGAAGCAGCCTGGAACTGCACGTCGGTGACGCCAGCGAGGGCTGCAAACAGCAGGGCAATGCTGTGGAGGGACAGAGAGAGCTCCTTGGGAATGGAAGCTTTCCCAGAGCTGAGCTTTACGCTTTGAAAGCACTCAGCTCTCAGGAGTTCAAGAACTTTTGATGGGTCCTGAGGGGACAGCATGCAGGAACTGGCAGGAGTTTAGCAAACCATCTGACGGTCTGCGAGGCCGGCCTCCTGGCTCCCTGGGGCCCTCCATGCCGAACCTCTCCGTATTTGCCTGTTATCTGGGGCCTGCGACTTGGAACAAGCCACCTCCGTTTGTCCCTTTTGATCCTGCCCCCTCAGCTGGCTGGCTCTAGTTCACTGGAAGGGGCCACTGATGACTATCAGGTAAAAACTGGAGCCCAGGGGTGGCAATCCTGAAGAGTGACAGCAGATCAAGGGCAGACTTGGCATTGTGGATTGATTATCATCCTTTCTTATTTCTTAGACGCCGGCTGGTGACATACAGGACTCTCAGACCGACATGGTCCCTATCTCCCAGGCTCTGAAGGTACCTATTCCTATCAATTCCTTTTAATAGCCCTGAAGATATCCCAGCCACATCCTGTTGCAAACAGCCACGGTTTGTGTGCTAGGTCAGCGTCCTTGTCAGGGCCTTCCCCTGGAAGAGCTATAGCTCCTAAGCTGCACTGCTGAGGTTCATGATTTTCCCGTGGGCACGGTGAGGTGATCTGCCGTCTTATACTCCTCTTCTCTTGGCTGACATCTAACCAGGCCTCATCCCTCACTACTTTCCCTATTTCCTTTGTAGCACGCATGCAGTCTGCGGCCTATGCGTGAACCCTTAAGGACTGGGCTGTCTTTTTATAAAGAACTTCCTGGAAATATCTCAGCTCTGGGATATTTTTCCCTTTTTTCAGCTTAAAAGGGAAGAATTCTGGAAAAGTGCTGCATTTTTTTGTAGGTATTTTTTTCATTTGTCTAATTTAAATAATTTAAAGAACATATTTCTCATTATAGGGACAAGAATAGGATTACCTTGGCTGCAGCCATTTGCATACTACCTTTAAAAAAAAATACCCACACACCATCTGTGATATTCTCCTTTGATATTTCACATTAAATTGTCTCACGCCGACACTATTCTTCACCTGAAACAATATTTGTAAAATCTTGAGTTTTATGTATTACAATTCAAATGTAAAAAAATATCTCCCTGTTTACTATCTAAAATTATTTCCTATACCACTAACGTTAGCCTCCCACTTCGGGAAATACTCATCTAGAATATAATAGTTTTTGGAAGAGATTTGCATGAAGAACTTTACAGCAACAAATCTACTACAATTTCAACTTAGCCAAAGATGAAGCATTTCTATGGTCTGTTTACAATAACTTTAGAGATGAATGAAGTTTAACATATTCTAGAACAATGGAAAATATCTCACTGCCTACAGGTCAAAACTTATATGAAATAGGAGATTTATAAGCATTATTAGAGCCTAACTTAAAAAAAAAAAAAGCCACCTGAATTCTATCTTTAAAAGCTGGTCAGTTATCCTTTCAGTCCTAAATGATCACATCTGAGCATTCCAGTCTGGGGAGAACCAGAAGACACTGCTGTCCAGTTGGTCCCATCAAAGAGGCTGAGCTGGACAACGTAACAAACGCTCTCCGTCTTTCCAGCCCCCACCCCCAATCCTCCACCTCCAAAAGCAGGAACAAGCTCAGCTGTGATCTATAATAATTCCATTAACCCTGCAATGAAGCATTAAATTAAACTGCCTAGCACAAGATTCTTCTTTTGCTACAAGGCAAAATGTACCTTGTAAAGCCTGAATTTCATGCTAATAGATTAACTAACCGGCTACATGTTTACAGGAGAATACAAATAAGCAAAATAACTAGGCAAATTGTGAAATCTCCAGTGGGGGTGTTACAACAACGAACTTTCTCCCTGATAATGTTTCCTCTGAAGAGTTTAGTTATAGAGTGTTCCAGCCTTAGAAAGAGCAGTTCTCCGGGGCGCCTGGGTGTCTCAGGGCTTAAGTGTCCTCCTGTCAGGTCATGATCTCAGGGTTGTGAGATCGAGCCCCATGTTGGGCTCCACCCTGGGTGTGCAGGTGCAGCCTGCTTAAGATTCTCTCTCTCCCCCTCTGCCTCTGCCCCTCCCCCCTCCCTCTCTAAAAAATAAATAAAAAAATAAATAAATAAATAAAAAATTAAAAAAAAGGGGCGCCTATGTGGCTCAGACGATTAAGCATCTGCCTTCGGCTCAGGTCATGATCCTCGGGTCCTGGGATCGAGCCCCGCATCGGGCTCCCTGCTCCATGGGAAGCCTGCTTCTCTCTCTCCCTCTGCCTGCCTCTCCCCCTGCTTGCACTCTCTGTCAAATAAAAAATAAAAAAATCTTAAAAAAATTTTTAAAAAGAGCAGTATTAAAAAAAAAAGAAAGAGCAGTTCTTAAGTGGTTCACCTTTCTATGGAATTCTCAAACCAATACTTTTAAACAAATTAATTATAGGAAGAAAGCTGACTTGAGCTGACACTGTGGTGAAGAGCCTTTGTCACCTCCGGCATAAATCACCACCCTGGACCCTGGGAGACTCTGAGAAGGGCAGATTCAAGTTTGTGGCAGAGCCTGGGCCAGATTCCAGGTTTCTGACAACTGATTCAGTGTTCTCTACACCAGCACAGGCTTCTCAGTCTTTCTGGAGAAAGGATGAAGATTCCTCTTGAGCAAATTCCATTCCTGGGGTCACTTCAGCATGCCCTAGTTCTCTTAAGCCAGAGAACCACAGACATCACTTAGCTCTTTGTAAAAAGTATATCCAGCTAAGAGAACAGCAAGAAGCTGGCTTTGTGCTGCAAATATGTGGCTTTCTGGTCCATAAGGATTAGCACCCAAAAATGTATGGTGACTTCAAGCACACACATCTAAATTCCATATTCCGTCTCATCAGCACGCAGGGGGAAAGAGGTCAAGTATACCAGCAAAATAATTCAACGGTCAGACCATTAAAGGGTATTGAAATCTAGAAATACAGTGCATCAGAGCTGGAAGGGATCTGGGAAATCATATAGTCTGAACCCCTTCTTTAACAGATTGCTCAAGGCCATAGAATCCATTTGTGCCAGAGTAAGGATTACCCAATAGCCCTCTAGACTGTAATGTTCTCTGAAGCTCTTTTCATCTCTGACGGGGGCTGTAATGAAGACCGGTCAAGTGCTGTCATGTCAGGTCCTCAGCATGTGCTGTATAAACTACATCCTTAAGCCTTGCTTCCTAGTGCCAGGCCACAGGAGACCCACAGTGAAGCCTGCTCAGCCAAGGCCAGGAGCACTCCCTTGGGCACCCAGTCCTTCTGTGCATCACCAGGGACTGTGTTCCCAAGTCCAGTACCTAGAAAGCTGGCTAACAGAGGAAGTAAAGCAGATCCCTGGGGCCTGGGGAATTGACAAAGATACAGTAGCAACAGTCAAAACAACATCCCAAATTACCCAAGCCCAAACTCCCTCTATTCTTGCTGTCAGAAGCACCACCCTAACCAGAAGCAGGACTCAAGAACACTTTAGCAGCGTTCTCCTACCTGCTGAGCCAGCTCCTGACCCCAGGCGTGGCTTCAAGGCCTCTCACCCCCTGCGTGGGTCATGGCAGTGCCTGTCTGTTCTCAATATCATACCCTCACTTCTCAGATCACTCTGAAATGAGCTCTGCACCTGGTCAGTCTCAAGTGGAGCAAACTTACCTGTCAGCATCGCCAAGGCCCAGGGAGGTATTTCTTTGCAGGGTCTCCCGCACCACAGCCATCCCATCGGGGAGCCGGTTCAGGCGACGAGTATAGAGGCCAAGTCCACCGTCGGTCATGTACCTTCAACAGGAGCAGAGGATGATGCAAATATATGGTCAAGAGCAATTCATATACAGTCTTGTGGTTCACATCCAGGAGCCCTACATGGCCATCCTGTGCTCTAAGGGGGAAGGAACTGAGGCTTTCCCAAGGCTCTGTCGCTAATCACAGCCCAGGGATAACTCCGCTGTTGATTCAACCCAAAGGATCACCCACTTGATAGCAAAAATAGAACTCGGCTTAATTAACCCAAACTCACAGGAATCTATGAAGCAGAAGGGAACTAGTGAATAACACTAACTGTCAGATGTATTCATGACATTCTTTTTAATTTGGCATTTATACAAGCAGGTGTTTTACCTAAGTAATGTGAGTGGAACTGACAATCATTAGCAAAGCACAGGGAAAAAAATATGACAGAATAGTGCAATGGAGAAAGTAGGCAAGCTTTTAAAAGAGGATGGAAAGGAAAGACAGAGGACAGATGAGCCACCTTTGTCATCACGGGCAAATTGCTTTTTTGGCCCTGGGTCTTCCATCTGAACTATGGGAATATCACAGCCTTACTGCATCCTCAAGGCAGACATGAGAATTAGCCAGATAAGGCATATGAAGGTGCTCTGCAATTTGTGTAAGACCATATACACGGAAGACATTATTAGGGGTGTCATTATCTTGAAGTATCCACAATGGTGAATTTCACCTTTGATATCGATGCTTTAAGAGGGTTGTCACAAAACTCTCCAAACACCACTCAGCCTAATTTACTCTTCCAGATTTCTTGGTGAGTCCACAAAGCTATCTTCCAATGGAGTCGGTGTTATCAGGGGAGGGAGTACCCCTGGAGCTTCTTCTGTATAGATAGCCATCCGCTACCCAGACCAACTCCTGAGAGCTTCGCCACCAGTAGGGGGTAGTTCAGGTACAAAGCAGCTTTACCTCATCTACCCTGCCTCCTTCCAAAATCCCATAAAGGAGACTGCTTGTGCCATCACCCCCATCTTCAGAGGAAGACAGGAAGGCAAGACAAAAGTTGGGCAGAGCAAGAAACCAAACTCGGGTCCCTTGAATTCTCACACAGGCTCCATCAGATAGACCTGCAAGGTGTCTGAAAATGCAGGTGTCTCACATTTCAAGTGAAATGACATTTATTAAGAAGACCCATGAGTGGTGATTTTCCTGAGACAGTCCGCTGAGCTATATCACACAAAATGTTTCACCGCATTTAGTATTTTAGCTTTAGAATCTATGAAGTAGATTTTGAGAGTTGTCAATTCTGGACTTCTACTTCGAGTTTGGGTCCTTTCTGGGATATATTCTTAGAAAAATGGAATTGCAGGATGCTGTGGAGGTTGCCCATGTCCAGTACGTTTCAGTTAGGGGCAGAGAAGACAGTTCTCACTGGCGCATCTGGGATAAGAAGTCGTTTCCATATGCGTCAAAAGAATTCTCCTTTAGGGCAGCTTCCAGGACACCACATCTAAATGGAACTTCTCTGATGTCCCCTCCTGCCCCTTATGACATTAATGATCAGAGGCAATGCAATGCCAACATGATGTAAAATCTGTTGGAGCAGTCAAACCAATTGGTTGTGGTTGTACCAACAAAATGACAACAGATGAGACTGAGTTTTTCACTCCACTCTGTCATACGAAAAACAAAGCAAAGGGGAGCCTGGGTGGCTCAGTCGTTAAGCGCCAGCCTTCAGCTCAGGTCATGGTACCAGGGTCCTGGGATCGAGCCTCGCATCAGGCTCCCTGCTCGGCGGGAAGCCTGCTTCTCCCTCTCCCACTCCCCCTGCTTGTGTTCCCCACTCTCTCTATGTCTCTGTCAAATAAATAAAATCTTAAAAAAAAACAAAACAAACACTGTAAATATACTAAAAACCACTGCATTATATACTTTAAAAGGGTGAATTTTATGAATTGTATCTCAATAAAACAAAAACAAAAAAGAGGGATTACAGCTACAGTTTAATAATTATTTGTGTAATTACTCTTTAGTGCTCATCTCCTACACTATATGGTAAATTCCTTGAGGACAAGGACTATTTGTACTTTGTTGAAATCTATATCCCATGTGCCTAACACATACTAAGTGCTCATGACAAATTGTTTTTGTTGCATGAAGACCAAAGACACAGGCATAGAATGGGGTTTAGCAAAAACTTTTGGGGAGGACACGGATTACAGGTTTGCTGTCCTCTTTTTATTTTTTAAAGATTTTATTTTTTTAACTAATCTCTACACCCAACCTGGGGGTCAGACTCACAACCCAAGATAAAGAGTTGCATGTTCCACCAAATGAGCCAGCCAGGTGCCCCTTCCTCTTTTTTTTTTTTTTAAATCAATTCATTTTTTCTTTTGAAAGTTTATTTATTTATTTATTTATTTGGCAATCTCTACCCCTAGCGTGGGGCTCAAATTCACAACCCTGAGATCAAGAGTTGCAGGCACCACTGACTGAGCCGGGCAGGCGCCCCACGTTTTCCTTCCTCTCAATTGCCAGCAAACATGACATCTAAGATATATGGAAAGGCAAACTGAACTGTTCATCTGCCGGTCTACCCATCCATCTGTCCACCCAACCACCCACTCATTCAGTGTAACCCAGGTTCCAGTGGTGGGCTCCGTGTACATGTCCTAGAGACAGCACGAGGAGAAAAAAGCGCCCACCTAGATCAAAACACAGTGACTTTGCCAGAGGCTGGAGTTTCTAGCTCAAATGTCCTCTCAAGGAGAATTCAGGGGAAGCTCTTCAAAACACAATCTGCTGCACCATTTAAGCAAGGCAGTTAATTTTGATTTTAGCAAAGCCCACCCAGCCATATAAACAAAAACTTTTCAACTGCGGGGATCTTGTCAAAGGACAAACAAACTCATTTTCGCATTCATTTCCCTGCTGGATTTTTATTGCTGGTGAAACAACACTCACAGTTGGGCAATTACACGCACCCAGGCGTGTAGACAAGGCCCCCAGGTACAGAGCCTCTGCCTTCTGCAGACGAATGTCTGCACAGACGAATGGTCCACAGACGAATGTTGAGACGCACCACAGCCCCCAACCCACCAACACCCAAGCACGGTGTGGTTCTGTCAAAAATGAAAACCCTCAGCGGTGGGTGGGCCCTGGAGAGATGGGACTGGATGTGTTACTTTGGCCTATCGACTGCTACGGGGAATTCTGATTTCATTTAGGCGGAGAAGAAAGGCAAGATAAATCAGATCCTCTGCCTTCACAAATGGCACAGAGAACTCAAGGGCCAGGGAGTTGAATGCAACTAATCAGACTGTGACCCAGCTTTGCTGCAAATCTATTTCATTTTTTTTTAAAGATTTATTTATTTGACAGAGAGAGAGAGAGCACAAGCTGGGGGAGCGGCAGGCAGTGGGAGAAGCAGGCAGTGGGAGAAGCAGGCTCCTGCTGAGCAAGAAGCCTGATGTGGGGCTCGATCCCAGGACCCTGGGATCATGACCTGAGCCAAAGGCAGACGCTTAACGACTGAGCCACCCAGGAGCCCTGCAAATCTAGCTCATTCACTGTGTGTGAGAGGGGTGAGGGTAAGGGATTGGGGGTGGGGTGGGGAGAAATTGTGAGGAAATGGGGAATTTTCATCTTTTCCCAGACATTTGCAAAAACACATATCCGATCAGATAGTTTTTATAACATTCTTAAAAATAAGTTCTATTTTAGGTCCTCTCACTAGGAGACAGCTGTCACTACAACCAGGCTCACAATCAACAATCTAATGTAAAATATTTATTTTTAAATTATTAGCCACTGGGGCGCCTGGGTGGCGTCTGCCTCCAGCTCAGGTCATGATCCCAGGGTCCTGGGATCGAGTCCCGCATCGGGCTCCCTGCTCCTTGGGAGCCTGCTTCTCCCTCTGCTTCTCTCTCTCTCTCTCTCTCTCTCCCCCTCTGTCTCTCATGAATAAATAAATAAAATCTTTAAAAAAATAATGAATAAATTATTAGCCATTGATTCCAACAGCCTCATTTACAAAACGCTCCCTATATGTTTTTATTTTTTTATTTTTATTTTTTTTAAAGATTTTATTTATTTATTTGAGAGAGAGAGAGTGCACGAGAGGGGGTAGGGTCAGAGGGAGAAGCAGACTCCCCACGGAGCAGGGAGCCCGATGTGGGACTCGATCCCGGGACTCCAGGATCATGACCTGAGCCGAAGGCAGTCGCTTAACCAACTGAACCACCCAAGCGGCCCCCTATATGTCTTTAAATAACTCTTCAAACCAAATAAAATTTTGGTTTGACCCAGATTTGTGTAGGAGCTAGCTACTGAATATATTAATATAGACTGCCTTCATCAAGTTAACCCCTTAAGAAAGCATAATTTACAGGTGAAGCAGTCACTGGTGTGTCCATCTGAATCAGCGGCCCTTGTGCAGCAGGGCTCAGAAGGCTTGTGTTCTGCACAGGGGTGGGGGATGGAGGGATGCGGGGGCAGAGGAACCATGGCCATGCCCCATCTTTGGGAACTTTAGCAAGGGTCACACAGGGTTAGTTTGAGGTCACAAGGAAGGAAGCAGCAGATCCAGGGACTGGATCCTCCAGCACCAACACTGTAGGGTTCCTTCTCCTTGGGGAAATAAATAACTAGTGCTGGAGCTCAATGAAGTGCCGGTAACATCCTAATGTTTGCTCGGTGGGGTCCTGACTAAGCCACCAAGCCGCTCAACAATTTCCACATTACCGTCTCAAGTTCTTACAGTGATGGGTGCAGGGGCCCTGCCTCCGCCTTCCACAGCCTCCCTGGAGGCCCCCCGATGGAGCCTGGGCTAACAACACAAGGTGTACGTGTGTGGGGGAGGGGGTGGTTTCTTTTCAAGGCTGGGGCACCATGGGCTGGCCCACGAGCATAAGAGTTGGCATCAGGGCTCTCTTGTCGGGAAGACCTGGGTTCAAATGTCTCCTCTGCCCCTTGCCGGCTCGGGGACCTTGGGTGCATCATTATTAATACGAACTAATGATTATGGAGGCTACCTGGGTACTGTGCTGAGT